GGTAGATTGTGGACTAGTGCTAGTCGTGGCGGTAGATGGTGAATTAGTGGCGGTAGATTGTGGAACACTAGTTGCGGCAGGTTGTGAATTAGTGGCGGTAGATGGTGGACTAGCAGGTTCTTGTGCATCTTCTTTGTGATCAGATGAAGACGAGTCGGACAAGGTGCTCCCATGCCCAGACTCTACTGCCTTTGCACTTGCTGCTTCTTGACCATCGGGAGAAGATGTTGGTGCCCCAAGACCACTGCTCGGCGCTGAAGCAAGGCGGGCTTGCTCGCCGCTCGACCTACTTGAAGAGGGCGAACTTGAAGAGGTAGAGGGCGCAGATTCTACGGGAGCCGGCCCCTCCAGGTCACCAGAACTCTGGGATTTCTTCCATTAGAAGGGCTTTTGCTTCAAGACAATCATGCTCACGAAAAGACAAAAAAGTCTGAGTTATTCTATATTTATGCGCAACTCGTCTTCTGGTCTCAGACTAGGACTACATCTAGTAGACGTAGAGATCATAACATCTTTCCCATTCTTGATCTTTGCTACCGAGCAGGAGAACTTGGGTTCCACATGACGCCCCTTTCTCGAGAAAAGAAGAGGCATCGCCGTTCGCCTCAGTTGTTAGAAAGACGCAGTGTTGAGTATATCATATCAATGTTCTACTTGTCGTGGTCATGATGTAGAAGATCTACTTCTTGGCTCTCAATCTAGTTCATCTTAAGTATTATTTAGTACGTCATAGCTTCAACCTCTTCGCGCTCCTCTCTAGTACAACATACAAGAAGAAGGAGCACTTTAAACCACGTGTTGTAAGCGCTCAACAGACGAGCACTACCCATCGAAATGCAATCTGGAATGACAGCAGTCAAAGACTTCATAATTTGTCAAAGGAGTAGTTTGAGGCCGAGTTATCAGGTCCGAATCCCACAAGATCGTGATCTTCCTTACATCTGTCCTACTATCTATCATGTAGTTATGCTAAGACGAGGTTGAACAAAAAGGATTTTTTCATTTGCATGCATAGAGGAAGAACAAGAGTACTAGAAGTAGTACGACTTTGGTACTTACCCCATTTAAGTGGTTGAGGATTCACTGACTCACTTCCTTAACTTCCAATCTTGGTTCTGTTCTCCGTGCCCGCAGGAGCCGGGCGTCGATGTGCCGGCTTGGTCGACTGCCATGCTAGGTCTTAGAGAAGAAAAGGGCTTAGGGCTAGGGCTTACCATCAAGATCTAGAACACGTCCTATACAGCGTTACTGAGGAGGACTATGATTAGGAGGTTGGGGCTTAGGGTCAAATTTAGGGCCTAGGGCTAGGATTCAATAAATGCTATTTCTCGACGGTGTATGGGCTAGAGGACTTACAGAGAGGAAGTTCCTGTCAATAAATGCTATTTCTCGAGGACGGTGTATGGGCTAGAGTTACAGAGAGGAAGTTCCTGTCAATAAATGCTATTTCTCGCCGGTGTATGGGCTAGAGTTATAGCGAGGAAGTTCCTGTGAGAAACATTTCATCAATACCATAATTCATCTGGTCGCCGTTTTTGCGTTCCACGGAAGTTTCCGTGTTCTTGTGATGCCGCTCCACGGAAGTTTCCGTGTTCTTGTGATGCCGCTCCACGGAAGTTTCCGTGTTCTTGTGATGCCGCTCCACGGAAGTTTCCGTGTTCTTGTGATGGCGCTCCACGGAAGTTTCCGTGTTCTTGTGTCAATACAGGTAGAGACACCATTAGACCTCGTCTCATAAATTCATCCTTCAGCTTCATCCTTCTTGAACATAAGTTAAGTATTTAACTCTCGAAGGACGTCGGGGGAGCCGCGATTATTATATTTTTCCTGTCGTGAAGATACTAGATCACACGACCACTTATCCGGCATCCTTTTGAAGCATGCACTTAACTAGTACAGATGAATTACTTATAGTGAAAGCCTTAATACCAAGAAGCACAATAACGTAGAAAAGCGCGTGCATGTCTTCAAGGCATTGTTGGACTTCACAGCTCGTCTCGCTCGCTCCTCAACTGACACGACAAACCGTCTCAGCCGCAGTTTCCACTCTTAGTAGAAGACTTATTGATATTTCAGATTCAGATAGCATAAGCATTAACAACTAAATCTAAAAGTAAATCTTCGATAGAAGAGTGAGAGTGCCAGCGAGGCGAAATAGAGAGAACATCAAAATGTTTTTCGTCTATTATTCAATCATGATGAAAAATCATTTATACTATCGCTATCGAACCTGCAGCAACAAGGACACTCACAGTATGCATCGACATCAAGGAAGATCGAGACTCATAAGTGACGTTTTTTCTAAGGTCGTTAGTATGCTGCTGCAAAAAAGAGGACCATGCGGATCTGGTCGCTGCCAACAGGGTCTGCGCATGGTGATAGTAAATATTAGACCAGGCTCAACAACTGTATGAAAAGTCATCTCGGCTGATAGTCCTCCTTCGCAATGTCGGCGAAAGATGATAGTCCTCCTTGACCTTGACATAGACCTTGACTCAGATGTGTCTATAATAATTATAATAAATATCATGCTTTGACGCTGCAGAGGGAACAGTGCTTGCGCTGCTTGAAATTATATATCTATTTAATAATATTTTTGTGTTTGGACTAGACGGCGATTGATGTTGATCATAAAAAGACTAGCTAATCCTGCGTAGAAAATTCATATATCTATATTCTATAATAATACGTACTTAGCGTAATTGTGGATGTGGATGTTGTCATCCCCAAAGTGTCCACCTCCTGTGTTGATAATTTCCAGCAGGACCCCTTGAATTATGAGTGTTAGCTCTTAAAGATGGCCCACTTCTGCTTTTGCCTTCGACGTTGCTGCCCGCTAGTAATCGCTCTCCTCCTCTCAGAGTCGGACAGGAAGTTAGAAGTGGCACGAGGAGCAACACTGTCTACCACCAACACCAAAAGCTTGAACTTGAACTAGACCTACTATGAGTTTGAGTTTCTGTAAGCAGAAGCAGTTATCAATTTATAATTATATTTAAATAGTCATACTCATCTTAACAGTGAGGATCTTGTTCAGCATCTTCCTTTCGTCCTTTGCATCATGCGGCACGTCATTGCTCGATGAAGACGAGGACGAAGACGAAGAAGACGAGGATGACGTGGTCGTCGCTCCTCCGTGAGTCGTTGATCCACGTTCTCCTGTAGTCGTCGCTCCTTCGTGTTCGCAATCCCCGTGGGTCGTTGACGTAGTTGATCCACGTTCTACTGTTGATGAAGGTGCTACTGAGTAGCCCAAACGTGTAATGATGAGTCTCTCCCTCACCTTCCGTACAATTTGCCTGCCTCTCCCCTCAAGGTCAGGGGCGGAGGGGCTGGCTGACAACATGATAGTTGTAACAATTGGCTCTCGACGTTAAATGTTAAGTTGTCATGTTGTATTCCTATTTTTCATCAGAGGTTTCCAGCTAGCTCTGTGCTAGCTACTACGACGACGCCGTCGGTCGCGACGAGGGCCGCTTCAGCGCCATCGCTTCACCCTTGAAAGGTATCAGGTCACGTCGATGTCACTTCATCTTGTTATAGCCGCGCTTAACTACTTAACAAGGAAAGCATTTGCATTAAAAATAGAGCTGCGTGCTATCTTCATATTATCGCTCTTTCAATTTGTCGCTTTTCACTCTTGCAGAAGACAAATCGCGTAAGTATGCAGCACATCAATTGCAGGAGTATTAATTTGGTCTCTTTTTCACGTCGTGGTAAATTCAAATTTTACGAAGG